GAACTAAAGCAAAAGGACTTGAGACACGACTATCAATTCTTGGACTAAATGAGACTCGATGATGTTTTCCTAACTGACATGACTCACAATCTAATGATGAAAGATGACTCAAGGAAGGAACCAACAACTTCAAAGCCTTGAGAGAGGGATGACCAAGTCTGCAATGCCATTGGAGAGGAGTAAGAGACGACTAAAAAGCCACTGGGGGGCCACCACCATCAAGGTAACACAAACCACCTGCTTCATGCCCTCCACCAATCTTCTTCCCCGTTTTGAGATCCTGAAACACACAAGATGAAGGATAGAAGGTTACAGAACAATTAAGGGACTTGGTTAATCTGCTAACAGACATAAGATTAAAAGGGAACTTAGGGACATATAAAACAGATGCTAAAGACAAGGAGGAGAGATCAACATCACCAACACCACAGATAGGAGATGTAGAACCATTAGCAAGTGTAACTGTTTGAGATGTGGAGGAGCGAGAAAGGGAAGAAAATACATCAAGAGTCCCGAACATATGGTCTGAGGCTCCGGAGTCGATGATCCAGGGTGAGGCTTTGGAAGCTAAGCAAGCCATACCTGAATGGGCAAGTGTAGCGGTGTTCTACTGAGATGTTTGAAGGAACTGCTCATATACTGCACGTGGTACACTCATCATTTTCTGCCCAGAAGCACAAGCAGATGTGGAGGGGGTTGGGTCATTTTGCTGGCTTTCAGTAATTGTGCTACTACTCTTAGAHRTARCATGGTKARCCYAAGTGTTGGGTGGACCACGCAAATCATAGCAGAAATTAACTGTGTGCCCCTCTAAGCCACAATGTGTACACTTTCTCTGAGCATTACTCCTTCCTTTTCCACGGCCTCCCCCTGACTCTCGACCTCCAGTCCGGCCACTAGCCCGGTTAAACATGTGTCCACCACGGTTGCTTGGAGGTCCACTGCTGCCACCAACACTTCTACTTCCACGACCACTCTCTTTAGTCACTACCAAACCAGATCTATCAGAGAAGGAAGAACGTTCTACCGGCTCAATGGATGTCCTCTTAAGATGGGCAAAAACTTCTTCAAGTGAGGGGAGAGCGGATCCCCCCAATATCTGTGCTCTGACAGGCTCATACTCAGCCTTCAAGCCCACAAGAAACCTAGTCACATCAAGCTGTTCACGTTGTTGTTGTTGGATCTGGACATCT